GCTAATTTGGCGTCATAACCAAATGCTATCATTTCCTCATAAGACAAGAGCTGAAGTTAACAATGCTTGCAGATTTGACCAACAAAGTAAGCTGGTGAAAAGGAAAAAGAAATTATTGTAAATTAGTTTGTATTTGGTTTCCTTGTATTTCATTTCTTCCCTTTACTAAACTAAGATTTAGTAACTTTCAGAAATGAAATTTCTTGTAAATCCAAGATGGAGCAGAGTGGTTGATACTACCTGCCTGGGGGGGAAAAAGAAGAAGAAATGTGTATGATAGGGGAGGGAACTCATCTCCACCCCTTCAGTGTTCCTATGGGATTCCTCTCCAAGTACAGACAACAGACAGGTAATGACATTTTACTGTGTAACCTTGGCCCCAAAGTCTCCATGTGTAGAATTAGTTTTTGTAATTCATGCCAAAATTAGAGTCCTCATAGTTCTTTGTGAGAAAAAATTTGTTTCATGTACTTAAAAAGACATACTGATGGAGCTAAATGCTTAGAAGTAAAACATGCTCATTGCAGCACCATGTATAAATCCAATTTAATGGTTATCAATGAGTAGCAAATAGGTTCTGTTATATTCATAGAGGTTAATACTACGTAGGCTTAAAAAACAATAGGATAGATCTATATGTAATAAGATGGGAAGCTTCAAAAATATCTTCTTATGAAAGATTCCATTTTGGTAAGCTAAATGTGTTTATATAGTATAAAAGTGGTCTGGAAGGTTAGCAATCTATGAAGAGTGGTTACTGTGAAAGAAAAGAGCCATTTGCTTTGATATTTAAAATTTTGTTTACTAAACTTTTAAATATGAGAGAACATCCTTAAAGAACTATTCTATAAATTCTAGGAGGCAAAGATCTTATCTATTCGGTTACCATATTATATCAATTTTTCAAGTGCCTGGCACAGTGTAGGACTTAGTAAGTATTTCTTACTATAGACAGAGCTATCAAACTGAAATCTTTTGTTCAAATCAAATCAAGGAAACATAAACAAAAAACAGGCCAGTTAAATAAACAAAACATGCCTGTCAGATTCTGGGTGACTTCCCCAGTTTTTTACCAACCCCCCTGCTCAGGCTTCTACCTACCCAAATTTAAAATTTTCAATCTGAAGAAATATTTATTATCAAAGGTGAAACAGTATTCATCAGTTTATTTTCAGACTTTATTTTTATAAAGCTATATTCTCTTTGTAACAGTGTAATGACCTGCTTTTTAGTCAATTAGGCACCCTACACTATAAAAAGCATCCAAAAAAGTTCTTGTGTCAATACAGGCCAACATTAATCTTATTCTCTGTAAATAACTTTATAGTTCATATATAAATCTCAACATGAAACCCAATTTGTGAAATACTGAACTAGATTAATACTTTGTATGAAAACAGGACTGATCTCTGTGATTACATGGTTGAATGGAGGCAAGGTGTGGAAAAACCCTCCAAAACATGAAAAAAACATGGCATGTTAACAACCCCATTTACACTACAGCAATCAACTAACTAATTGTTCTAATGTGAACCAACCATTCACAGGTTAATTATTCAGGTAAGAAAGAGAGACATAAAGCAGGTTGATACCTGGAGTTAAATTGAATATTTGGATGCCAAAATAGAGGCAAGCACAGAGCCAACTTTCTGATGAGCAATCTAAACCTACTGTCAAAAATCACTGGAGATTTTATTTGGCAATATCATTGTTGTTATAATTTTAAATGTCAGAATTTAAAAGAAACTAGGAGAAATCTTCATTACATGACAAAAACATGGAACTAAAGAAGTATTACAAGAAATGAAGAGCCTGTGTCAATTTTCACTAGCTTTTTCAATTTTTTTGAAATACAAGTCAGAAAAGTGCAGTGAATGTAGACATACAGTCCAATGAAGGCAAATGAGAACAACTTACCACACAGGTCAAAAGAAAGAACACTGCCAGCCCCCTAATGACCTGACTTTAAAAATGGGATATCTTATCATGTATTTTTGCATTAATTTGTATTTCATATATATTGCATTTATCTTGATAGATTTTAGGTTCCCCATTATATTGAATGCCTATTCTATAAGCCCTCAACAACTCCTCCTCTTTTCCTCTTGAGGGAATCATAGCCATGATTTTTATAATTACTACTTTGCTTTAATTTTTTTAAATTACTTATTTATTTTTGGTGCTGCCGATTGAATGTAGGGTCTTGCTCATGGCAAGCATGTTCTCTACCACCGAGATACATCCCAAGACCCAATTCATTTCTAAAGAGGACCACACCTATGCATGCAACACCAATATACAAGTTTTGAATACTGCTAAATATCTCATGGATATATTTGTGTGTGTGCTCCTCTTATAATGTCATGTTTGGCTCTATTTCATTCATTGTATTGCTATATGATCATATATGCTTTGAATGCACTGTTATATTTTCTATTATCTTTGGATATTACAGTTATACTTATTTAGAGCTACTGCATATGACACTACATGAACACACTTATATGTAAGTCCTGGCACACAAAAACACAATTTTCAGAATTATATGACTAAAAATAAAAATGCTGGTCCTCGATTTTGGATACTGAAAACAGTATTAGACCTTATGGCCAGTTTTTTGTGAAATAAAATGGGTTAATGTATGAAATATTCACTAAAAAAGATTTAGGAGATCCCACTCGACAGACAGAGCTATCAATAACCTCCTAGTCCAAGAGATGAAATTTTAAACTCAATAGAATCTGAAGTAATGAGTTTTAAATAGGATACAATTATAGGATCATCATTTCAGTCTCCTTTCTGTGTTGATCCACATCCAGCTCATTCTGGAAGTAATGAGGGTTTTCTGTGTGAAAGCACTGCCAACTCAGGGCCAGTAACACACCAAATACACAGCTGCCTGCTGTACGATTCTGTTGGCTTAAAAGGCATTTCCAATTTAATGCACAGTATTTGCAATTAGTTCATTGGAATTGATTAATGTATTCACCAACTAAATGCAGTGGCACTGCAGTCAATTTCTGTGTGGTTACTGGTTTTCCTGGGGGCTGATGTGACACTGTTTTTTAGGCCTAGGCTGTGAACGTGCAGAAGATAGAGGCTTCATTTTATTCATTTTTACATTCCCAGTATCTAGTAAAATATTTGGTACTTGGAATTATGTGCTTGAAATTGCTTGTCAGATTTATTGAATTGAGAAAACTATAGCTTCACAGTGACTGGTTTGAAACTCATCTTTAATTTACCAGATGAGAAATAGAAAATTTTTCAAAAATAAGACTGTACAGTTTATTAACATGAGCATATTTCCCCCTTTAAATGTAAATTTGTCATGATCTGTGAAATGCCAATTTCAATATTTAAAGCTATACCAAATTTCTATGCTGCTTGGCACCTAAATGCAGCTCCCCCCAGCCAAAAAAAGCTATAAAATTCAACACTAATCCCTCTGAATTATTTGTTTCCTTCACTCTTGAAAGTGAAGTGCCCAGATATGAGCACCATGTCGTCTGGGAGAGGAATATCTGTCACTCAAATACATGGAGAAAACTGGCTAGAGCAGCTGAGTGTGGCAAGTGCTGAAGTCCTTGAGACACCCAAGTTGCCTCTCTGTTTTTTTTCTATTTTTGCAGCATTCTTGTTCCTTTGCAGATTTAATTTCTGTTGAGCTCCATGTTTTGCTCAACAAGTCTCTTAACTCTTCTCTAAATAGTTTATAAAATGTTTAGAAAAGGAATTCACAAAATCAAATACCTAGGGAGTCAGTGGAATCCCAAGGACTTTCCTTCTGTCTTCAGTGTTGAAGTATTTCTAATAGGATGACTACTGGGGAATCAAGCAGTAGGAATGCAGAGATGATTGACTCTGGGAAGTCTTAGTGAAGCTTCTGCTCAAAGTTCACCATGTACTCTTTCAGGGCATGAAGGATATAGAGTGAAGAAACTCACCCGCAAAAATTTCCTTGGGACACTCATTTAGTGTTTACCCTGAAGAAAGACACACCCTCCTCTCTCCTGCTTTCTACGCCTCCATGAAGAAGAACTAGACAACTATGGCAGGGCATTATGAAGACTGTGATTTCTGTATTAGTTCTCATCTACATTCTCTAGTTTTTTTTTGTTTGTTTTGTTTTGTTTTGTTGTTGTTGTTGTTGTTGTTTTTGGTGGTGGTGCTACTGGGGTGGCCTACCACTGAACCACATCTCCAGGCCTTTTTAAAATTTTGTGACAGGGTCTCACTAAGTTGCCCAGGCTCAAACTTGAAATGCTCCTACCTCAGCCTCCCAAGTAGCTGGGATCATGGGTATGTGCCAGCACACCCCAATTCTCTTATTTATTCGGTGGGGTGTGGGGGGGACTAGGGATGGAACTCAGGGGCACTAGACCACTGAATTGCATCCCTAACCCTATTTTGTATTTTATTTAGAGACAGGGTCTGAGTTGCTTAGCACCTCGCTATTGCTGAGGCTGGCTTTGAACTCACAACCTCCTGCCTCAGCCTCCCAAGCTATTGAGATTTCAGGCATGTGCCATCATGCTGGGCTCTCTTATTCTTTTTATTAAAGCTATACAACTCTTCTAACTCCACCTATGACAGTTATTTTGGAGAAGCTATGTCTGGAAACTTGGTGGTTCCCATCACCGGAAGTCTACCTTTTCTGGAATAGGGAGCAGTCTTCTAAAGAATCCTAATGTGCTAACATAATTTCTTAAAATAAGATATGAGAGCACTGTCAACTACATATAATTATACAATAATGATCCAAAAGTCATGTTCTGCACCTGGCTCATGTTGTTGAAAATAGAGCCAACATTTTAAACTATTTATAAAACTCTGGACTCTTTCAGTTTATAATTAAAAAATGACCCCTAACATAAAAGAGTAAACTTCTGGCATCCTCTCAATTAGGATTTAAATGCTAGAAAAAAGTTTCCCTCAAGTATTAGTTTGACAATGTTGAAAATAAACCCACTGTCACCCATCTGATAAAGAAAACTTACCCTTTCAATTTGGCAGCAGCCTCTCCAGAACAGATTGCAGTCAGCAAACTCTGTCAGATCTGTTCTGGGTCAGGGCTTTGGAATGTTAAAGAACTTTGTCTCCTAAGGGTGAATTATGGGCAGTCAGCTGGAGTTGGTGTTGGAGAATTTTGTTCATTATGTGCAGAGTTATTTTGCTAAAAAAATAAATGCACTATATTTATGTGAATTCCAAGGGAAGAATAGTTCAATTCTGTAAAACATTTTTATCACCAATAGTTCTTTAAGAATCACCATTTGCCCAATGGATGATTTAGATAAGGCTGTTTCTTCACCCAATAAATTCTCTTTGCTGCCAAAGCTGAACTAGAAGATGATGGCATTACTTTACCTTCCCTTCCCTTGAACAGAGGAGGCTAAGGAAGAAAAATGGTCTCTCTCTTTCAAGGATACAGTTTACTGTGTGGAGTCAAATAATGCTGATATTTCCAATACATGGAGTTGACCAGAAGAGCCAAAATAATAATCAAAAAATTCTACAAAATTAAAAATAATCCATGTTCATGGTTTCAACATACAGGTTGGAAAATTATTATTTTTGAAAGCACAGTCAAATATTGACAATTTCATAGTGGTTAAATCTAATGTATCTTTTAATAAAGGAATATCAATTACTACATGTAAATATTTATTTTGTGTTTCAGGAAGTCATGGGGACTTTGTGTTGGCTGTTTTATTTTTCCCACGAGGATAAAAATAAATATTAGTAACTTCCAAACTGAAGAATCAAAATCTTAAACTTCTTAGGAAGGAATATTCAGTATCAGAATTAACTGGCAAATCAAGTAATCTTAAAGATGTCTTTTTCCAACTGCCATAAAAAATAATGAGTTAAACATGGTTTGGACAATGACTCAAAAAATGCATTATCTAAATCAAAGTTCCATTGTTTAGGAATGATATTCCAGTTTAAGGAAAAAATGCAGGTTTTATTCCCAACTCAAGAATAAAAGTCTATATCATACATCACTTCCTGATGCTTTAACAAATAATGTAAATATTTTTATGTAAATGTAAATATTTTCCACTATAAATATTGCTTTAAAATTACTGAAAAATGTTCTCCTACTCTATGAATGTTTGAAAAAGTAGTGTAAAATACTTCTGGAACCATCACACAAATATGAAAGTATTCTTTAAACACCATCAGAGTAAAAGTACACAAAACATTTCTTAAAACTCACATGCAGATTATCATGAGTCACACTGTGAATTTCATACCCTCATTGTCTATACAGTCTGAACCTGGCAAAATACACTATTTAGTTGACTAAGCATCAACTCAATGACACACTTTTTGGTAAGTCATTAAGGCTAGACAGTAGTTGGATGATGTTTTAGTCAACACATGTATAACTGAAAAAGGTGACCTTAACAAAATGGGGAATTAAGAAAGATACACTTGGGGCTGGGGATGTGGCTCAAGCGGTAGCGCGCTCTCCTGGCATGCGTGTGGCCCGGGTTCGATCCTCAGAACCACATACAAACAAAGATGTTGTGCCCGCCGATAACTAAAATAAATAAATAAATAAATATTTAAAAAATTCTCTCTTTACACTCTCTCTGTCTCTCACTCTCTCTCTTTTTTTTAAAAAAAAGAAAGATACACTTTAGAACTGATTTCAATTTGAATTAGTTACATGCAAAAATGTATGGTCAGCTGTGAGACTGAATGAATATAATGGAAAAGGCACAGCCCAGGTGTTGGGTTACTTTATCTAGTCTTTGATTCTGCTGTTTCATATAACCAACACTGTTTATATTGCATTATATATTACTGTAACACATGAAGAGAACATGAAGTAAGCCAGGACATCCAGAAAAATTAAAAATGAATTAGCAAAGAAAATAGTTCAAACTCAAAACTAGTAAATTAACAAGGCCTATGAATGAAGAAATTTAATACCATTACTAACAATACAATTATATAATTACAACCTTATAGTAATATCTAATAAAGTTATGTGAATTATACACACTAAATAATGATATTATATGTATTAATTTCTTCCCTATAGTAGCATGGTATTCTATTAATAAGAATTCAGAGTTCAGTAATGCACAAACACACCAACATGCTTGTTATCCACTATTTTAACCAGGTTCCATAATAATCCAAATACTTATTTTTTTTAAAAAGGTAACATTTACCTTATCCATCATATCAATTTGTGGGATGTCTGCACACCTGTGTACACAGCAAGTCCTCCCATCCTCTGGGTGAGCTGGAGGTTGGTTGGATGCACCCAAACTGAGTGACTCGGGCTGTGCCTTACTGAAAGACTGTGACCTCTTCACAACAGCAAGGGCAAATGGTGAAGGAGCAGAACTTGAGTATGGTCTTGGGGCACCAAAAGTTTTCAGAATCTTCGGTTTACCGCTGCTACCTGACTAGTGGGAAGAGGCATAGGCTTGGGAGCTATAGGAGGAGGAGAGGTTTCAGCAGGTTTCTGGTTGATGATGTCATCTTCCATCTTTTTAGTTTGGGGCTGTGGAGCTGGGTGAGTAGTTTTACTTAAGGGAGAAAGTGTCTGTTCTGAATGAGGCAGTGTGTCCCTTTCCATCTCTTTTTTTGTTAGTTCCTTGGGGGAAGGATTAGGGATAGTATGGACATTCTTGGCAGCTGCAGATGTCACATACTGACCTGATACTCTCTTCTGCATCTTCAAGAAAAAAGAACTTGGTTTGGCCTGGGGATTTGATCCAAGATTTAAATTTCGATTCCAAAATATTGTTTATTTCTTCCAAATTTGGTGCAAAAGGAGCTGTGCCAATGTCTCTAGTCATTCTGGGAAGTTTCCAAGGATTAGTCACAGCACCATTGTGTGAGCTCACAGCCCTGTGCAACTGTTGCTCTGTTCTCAAGTTAGGCTTTGGTTTAGGGTCTACCTGTAGCTCCCCTGGGCCTTCAGAAGTAAAAAGGTCTTGTGTTTGCAGGGCCACCTCCTTCACATTCCCTGAAGCATGTATCTTTTGATCATCTTTATACCCTATGGTTTCTGATTCCCAGTCTTTCAGTATATCCAGGGATTTGGGAGGTACTATTTTATAAGTAGTCATTCCAATTTTGGGTATATACTCTCTTGTAATTTCATTTGAAGGTTTTGGCTTGGGATTATAGTCTTGTCTGTAAATTGGCAGATTCTTTAGATAAGAAGCAGCTGAATATTTATCAATTCCATCTATAGGAGACAAAGGATCATCATTGCCTTGTGCACAAGTTGGATCTTTTATGGCAAGTCTGTCTTCTGAATATACAACTGGGGTGCTCTGAATCCTCAATTCTCTTGAGGTAGTTACATGATTTTGTAGATTTAAAGATAGGTGTTGAGTTGGTTTGTTATTTGAAGTTTGCACACTTTCATCAACTTTGAAAGCAGGCACATTACGATCTTGGTGATTCCCCTCAGAACTGTTGCTGGAAGGGATTGTCTGAATTGCCGCATCTTGCCTTTTCATCTTTTCTGCACCAAGCTGATTCAGTTTGTGGTCTGGTACTGATGGTTCTGGTCGATGATTTTCCTTGCTATAACATTAACAGTTTCATGTGCTTGATAGCTTGACTGTCTGTCAACTTCCATGACCGTGTCCTTATTTTTTGCTTCCCCTTCTACATTGATTTCTGTTCTCCTCACTCTATTTTTCATAGTATCTTCTGTATTTGTTGTAAGGACAATGATTTCATTCTGAACTATTGAGAGAAAAAAATAGAAAAACTCAAGTTTACAATGTTTGCCTCATCCAACTATCATCATTTGCTTTGAATGCTACAGATAATCTTTATATCACCAATTATACGAATTCAGGCAGTGGCATACAGAGAAAGCAGTAAGGGCTGTACACTCAAAAGAACCTGAGTTTGGAACCTCTTTAACTAATGTGGCCACATGTTAAATTATAATAACCCCTCACAGCTTCATTTTGCTGACACGTAAAGAGGTGAAAATATGTTGGTTTGTTTTACGGTACTGTGGATTGAACCGAAGGTCTCAAGCTTGCAGGAAAGTGCTCTACCACTGAGTCTATCCCCAACCCTTTGTTAAATTTTTAAATTTTGAGAATGCATTAGTAAATTGTTGAGGCTTCCCTCAAACTTGTGATCCTGAGTGGCTTGGATTATAGGTGTGAAAATAAGTATTCTAAATTATAGATATAATTATATGTAAATTATACAGATACATACACATCTACGTATGTGTACATATATATCACTTAGGTAATATTTTAAGATAGAATACTGTCTAGAATAGGCAATATAGAGAAGGCAGCTATGCTCCAAAAAATAAGTAAATATTTCATTTTTCCATCATTGTTAATGAAGAAAGAAATTGATAAATTCAAAAATTGTATTTTTCCCTCCATTTAGAATCTTTTTTCAATAGCCTCTCATGTAAACTTATATTTCATATCTAGTACTAAAATAATCTCAGTAAATATCATTTTTAATTAAGGCAAACAACACAAAACATTACCTTTAAGAAAGTAAAGAATGGGAGTTATAGCTCAATGGGAGAGCACTAGTCTAGCATGTGCTAAGGCCTTGCTTGGGTCCAATCCCCAGCATCACCAAAAAAAAAAAAAAAAAAGAAAGAAAATTGAAGAAGTAAAAACAAAAAACAGTCTATGTTGATTATCATGTTCATTGGGTGTCCTTACTAAAGTCTTTTGGAGGAATTTGTTTTTAGTCATAATGTGGTTGATTTCAACCTTATAAAAACAAAAATGCTAGTTTTGATTTTTCTCTGTGGGGAAAAAAGTATCCTTATTCTTCTAGAGTTGCAGCCCAAGAGATCTGTGACAGTCTCCCTCTCAAATCCTGTTGACTTTTCCTCTAATTCTAGTTCATATGACCTGAAAATGCAAATTACCTGCCAATCCCTGCATTAGTAGCAACAGCTTCTACTCCACAGGATGGCAGAGAACTGGAATAGCATCTGGAAGTGTGCAGGCATTATGAACATGCATCCATACCTAGTAAGGACCTGCTCTGAGGCATCGTTTCTCCTGCATGATGACCAGTAACCTCCCTTTTGAGATATGGGAATGGCTTGCATAGCACTAATAAGTGGTGGGCCTCAAAAGTCAACTCATGAAAGATGTCAAGTATTTCTCTATAGTTTTATCATCACCCACTTTTACCTAAAAGAGGATGAGATCAAATACAAGCCCTAAAATTGGAGGAGCTACAGTAAATAGTTTCTCTGAAAACAAACAAACAAAACCATGCAAGCTATACCCCAAAAAAAAAAAAATAAGTCATGATGTCAGGTAAATTTTTATGTAATTAAAAAAAAAATCACATTTTTAAACATCACTTAAATGTACTATTATTTGGTCATGGCAGCTAATAATTGCGTTACCAGATTCCTATATCAAGTATGTCATTTTAAAATAGAATTTATTTTTATTTTCCCAAATAAAATTCAACTGATTATCACATTATGTTCACTATTTGAGTGACTTCCTTTCTCAATGACCAAGAACTGAAAACTTTTGGGATTTAAAAATTAAGAATATGTAAGATAAGGAAGCAAAGAAGAGGCAAATTTCTGCTTTTGCTCTTAATTAACTTGGTTAAGTATTTAATGTTTATACGGAAAGCACTATTCTGAACATTATTATGAGCACAACAGAATGTAAGACATATTTTTTGGCAACAGAAAATGAGCCTAAATGCAATTATCAAGAATACAAGTAACGATGATTGTGAGATTGTGCGGGAAAGGGTATATTCATACATTGTTCAAAGAACCACAAATTAGTACAACCACTATGGAAAGCAGAATGGAGATTCCTCAGAAAACTTGGAAAGAACCACCATTTGGCCCAGCTTTCCCACTCCTTAGTATATACCCAAAGGATCTAAAATCAGCATACTACAATGACACAGCCACATCAATGTTTATAGCAGCTCAATTCACAATAGCTAAGCTATGGAACCAACCTAGATGTTCATCAACAATTGAATGGATAAAGAAATTATGGTGTGTAGGGTTGTGTGTGTGTGTGAGTGTGTGTGTGTGTGTGTGTGTGTGTGTATATATATATATATATATATATATATATATATATATATAATGGATATATTATGATACACACACAATGGATTATCACTCAGTCATAGAGAAAGGTTTTATGATATTTGCCAGTAAATAAACGAATCTGGAGACTATCAAGCTAAGTGAAATAAGCCAATCCCAAAAACCAAAGGTCAAATGTTCTCTCTTATATGTGGATGCTAACATACAAAAAGAGGAGAGGAGGGGAACAATAGAAGTTCATTAGATTAGATAAAGGGGAATGAAGGGCAGGGAAGATAGTTAGGAATAGGAAAGACAGTAGAATGAATCTGACATAACTTTCCTATGTATATATATATATGAATACATCATAGTCAATCTCAACATTGTTTATGTCCACAAGACTGGGATACTAATTATAATAAATTATATTACATGCTTGTAAAAATATACAAAAATAGATTCTACTGCTATGTATAACTAAAAAGAATAAAAATTTTTAAAAAGTAAATGAGCCTAAATATATTTTCTTCTTTCTTGCTGTTTCTTATTTTCCACTGAATATATTTTGAAACTGGATATTATCCAGTTTCAAAAATAGAAATATTTTCCAAGAGGAAGTAATTCAATGTAAAAATATAAATTAAATTAAATTCTCCTTAACAAACACTAATTTATTAGTTTTATATTCCAAATTTGTTTTTTATATTTTCAGTGGGTTAGACCCACTGAATCATTGAATTTAGCTCTAAATTTTTCATCAATATTTCACAATTATTCCCAGTGATTTTCAGGCCTGGAAGCTTAGAATCACCACTGAATTTATTAGCTAATTCCTCCTCATACATATCTGACAAGAGTCTTACTTGGTCTTTGAATGGCCAAGTTATTTTTCAAGGGTGGCCAGTAGAAGGAGAACGTAGCTTCTGTACTGCAATGTCATTTCTCTACTCAAAATTAATATAAACATCTACAATCTGATCAAAGGATGGTTTAAATAATTGTATACTGTAGGTGAAAAGAGAATAAAACCACTTTAGCGATAATAAATTATTTATTTTTTAAAATCACCTAAAGTTGACAAAAGGTCATTGTAAATGTGTGCAAATCAAAATAAATATTACGTAAACGTACTGTGACCCCAGCACTAACTTGATGTCAAAATCTTTGAAAATAATATACTAAATCATTTTTGCTAAGAAAGAAGTAGCTTTTAAATCATGATTTCTCCGTAGGAATGCTACTGCCATCACAGTATATGAAGGGAAAAAATAATCCAGATATAAAGAATAGGAAATGATTTACACTTGGAGGAATGACATTCTCCATGTGTCTCAGAATGGGACTGAACATTTAAAGTAAAATTAATCAGCAGCATACACATTCAAGTTAACGTATACATTCCAAAAAAAATGAAACTCACATAGATATACAGATACATTGGGACTATGACTTCTTATTCAAATATGAATATTATAGCATTATGGTTTTATGAATCTTAGCTGGGTTTTGTATGTTAACATGGGTTGGGCTATCAGCGTTCATAAATCACTTTCTTCTTATTTCCTTGAAATATATCATTGTGCAAGATCAATTTCTCTGATACAAGATGATCCAATTCAGTTGAGGAGTCAGGAATACAAAACTGCCTGGCTTCTAAGAATCATGTAACAAAATTAACAAAGTAGTAGGATTTAGATGGGAAATTGTTTTTTTCTGCAAAAATGGGATGAGCATAGACCAAATGATAAAATGGAGGGAACTACATCATAGAAAAAAAGAAGAAACTGTCTTGAGATGGGAATGAAAATTGGGGAAAGTGTAAATAAGATTACATAATTAGATGGTTTGAGCCTTGAAAATCAGGCAGATGAGTTTCATCCAAAATATAGCAACTTGAGTATGATGTAAAATAGGATTGTGCTACAGAATTAGGAGGGAAACAGAAAAACAGAACAGAAATAGATACATAGAGGACATTGCTTTTAAGATCTAAGGTTGAAGTTCGACAATCCCTAAGACTTAACAACATCATCAAATATAATGCACTGGATAGCTAAGAACATACTTTGGAGTAATACTTACTGAGTTAAACTCTAGGTCCATCACTTATTAGTTGTGGGAATTAATATCTTTGTGATTCAATCTTCAATAAAATGGGACTAAAAATAATAGCCTATAAATGAGGTGGGTATTAAATGAGTCAATATATAAGATTAAATGAGTTGATATGTGTTAAGGATAGTCCTTGGCACATCATTGTCTACCTGTCAATGTTTATAAAACTCACCATTCTCTTTGCTTGGGCCCAAATCGGACTTCAAATTTCTTACTCTGCAGGCTATCATATCTTCATTGCTTGTATCATACACAGTACTGTGTGACCCTCTGGCAGATATGATATTGTATATGTGTATACTATTCAAATTCATACAATAAGAAAACATGCAGTAATTTCCAAAGACAGATGGATTGAAATAATCATCTCTTTCTGCCAAATACTGAAAATGTAAAAGCAAAGAAAAAATTACAACTGAGAGGAAATGTTTCTGTGAAACCTAAGTTTTTTTTTTTTCATATAGTGGTCCTATTACACAGAAAGATACAAAAAGCTTGGGAAAATGGACTCATTACCAAAATAGTGTCTTTATTTTGATATTTTTGGTTATTTGTCTTTTAATGAAAAATGAAATTTAATGAAACATTTTTGTCTTGCATCTAGCAAAGTCAATTACATAAATCGTACTTGAATTGACCTCACTGACTTTTTTCTAGTGATAGAATGGTTTAATTTGGAGACAATCCCATGCAAATTATGTTAAATCTCTGATGAAGATGATTCATTTTACTTGGTTGATTTCATCTTTATTCATGGTGTTGCATCTCAAACATAATATATGTGAATTCACTATAGCTTTAGATACCTAGGATAATATGGAAAATGCCTTTCTGTATCATAAAGTTGACTGTAAAAATAAAACTGGGGATTTGAACTTATACTCTAATATAAAGACTTGTTTTCATATGCCAGTGAGCATTTGATAAAAATGAAATGTTGCATTTAAGTTAAATAAGTAATAGGCAAAATACACAAAAACTCTGATTTTTGAGTCATGCAAATTAAGGCTTATATGACACAGGGATAATGAACTAGTAAATTTGATAGACTTTGAACACAATTACATGCAAATAGATATGTATTAATAAACATTTTTATGATGATGATGGTAAGAGTGGTAGAATCTAAACAAAAGGAACTGACTCTATTTGTATTTAAAATATCCAATCTACATTTTAGAAGAATAGTACTAACTAAACAAATTACCAACAACACTCTGGCATTCAGACTACTTACGGTCCATCTGTGTTTCTTTTTTTTTTTTTTTTAATTTTGTCCCATCGGTTTTATTGGCCATATATTCAGAATTCATTATATAAATCTTTCAAAATAATGAGATATTACAAGAATAGTTTACAAGTCATCTCTGATTGCACAAATACTTGACACAGGAAATCATTTTTACAAACACATAAGTTTTCTTACAAGAATACTTTAATAAAGAAAATAAGTCTCTATACATCTTACAGCAAATTTTATGCATTTTCTTTCCCCCATTCAACCATCATTTTGGGTTTTCTATCACAGCATGTCTACCACATCCAACAAACCAAATTACAGTCTGCAGCTTCTTCTCACTTTCAAATACTGAGATTTCTCACACTGTTGAGGAATTTTTCAGCTTCCTTTTCTAATCTTTCCTGAAATTTAAGAATTCATCCATTCAGGCTAGAAGAGGTAATTTAAACAACATTCCTTTGAAACAGAACTTGAATCAGGTTAATCACTGGGTTTGATGAATGATCTTTTCACTTCCCACCTAGGCTTAAGGCCAGCCAATGGTTTAAGCCTGCTGTACCAAGTCCTTACATTCCAAATAGTCCCAAAATTGCAAAAAGGAAACCCTGGAAACAAGAGTGAAATACAAATATTAAGAAAGCTAAAATATTTGCTATTGATTAGAGAGCACCTTTAAATTAAGGTTCCTCCCAAGTTGAAGACGACAGAAAGGAAAGTATAAAGGCATGGCAGTAGTTGTATAAAACATTGAAAATCTGAAAAGGTTAATTGCTTAGGCCAGTGGTCTATCATTTCCAAAATGTGAGAGGATACAGAATCCTTGCCTCTGTAGCCAGCTGAACTCAATATCTGACATTCTTCTTATGTTGTGGCTTTGATACAGCCTAACAAATAGCCACTTACCCAGAGCAAGTGATCCTGTAGGCCAGGGGAACTTTAGAGAATACTGACCTCGTTTATCCGAAGAGATGGAACCCACCAGGGGAAACATGTGGCATTCACTCCATCCCTTCACTGTCACTGAAAAGTGTGTCCACTTGGCAAAGCTTATTGTCTTACTTTTCAGGTAGCATGAATTAAGATCAAGAATGAGCAATATCCTACAGTTTAGTTCCTGAGTGCTCAGCTCCAATTATTCCATATACTTAAGAGGATTCGTTCATCAAGCCCTTGTCCATTGAGAGATTTAACAGCACTGAGGGACCACAAAATGCCCATTTCTCTTCTCCTTTATTTCTCTTGATTTCTCTTTTTCACCCCAGTGTAACAAATTGCTACAGGTTTTTACCAAAATGTCGCAGTAGTAGTTAAAAATGAGTTATTCTGCATTACCCAAAAGTATTCAATCACATTATCACGGGTCACATTTGCATATAACTAGGAGATAGCCAAATAATGTTTATTGCAGTGATTTTGCAAATTCAGCATAGTCAATGTATCCATCATTGTTCTTGTCATCATCTCTCAAGACACCATCTATTATGTTAATCAGTTCTTCTTCACTCATTAGTGGGGCCTGTTCACTCTCTTCCTCCTTATGGACATGAGTGATGGCTGTAGAGAGCTCTAAGCCATCAAGTAAATTATTTACATCATAATCGTGCATTTTGAAATAATGGAGCTGCAGTTCTTGTGGGGACATCTCCGCCTCTGGTTTGTTGATGACACCTTCCAGATGCTCCATGATATGCTCTTGGTCGTGCACTGTGTTCTTATCGAGGCCCACGCTGCTGGGATGGGGGACATTGGCCCCGGGCTCCTCAGCCCTGGCACCTGGAGCACAAAAAGCCCAGAGCAGGCCATATAGGAAGGGGCCTCTGAGCAGCTGCAGGGATCTCATGGTCACCGGTACCATATCCTTTCTCATGGTCCTATGATAAAAACCTCTCCAACTTGTCTTCTGCTGACTTGATTTTTAGGGTCTGCTTTAAACCAGATGGTGTGTCATGCCGTACAGTGGTTGTTGCTTGCTAAAAATACACATCTCTCAGCAGCTGCATTTGTCTTCTGTGAATTTCATTATGTTCTCGGAGACATTACAAAAAAAAAAAAAAAAAAAAAAACCTATCATGGCCAAGATCCTTCATCTCTGTTGTAAGCAATTAATTGAGTTTGGTTTCTCACCACACAGCTTTGGTAGCACCTTCAGTGATCTGGTAGTAGCAATCTTCATCAGAATTCGTCCTAAGCACTCATCTGAGAAGACTTCAGATTATTAAACAATAACAACCATAGTTTTTATTTGTACCCACCCCCCGCAATTAAGATTGAACCCAGGGAGGTCTACTACTGGGCTACATCCTCAGCCTTTTTTTTTAATATTTATTTTTCAGTTTTAGGTGGACACAATATCTTTACTTTTCATTTATGTGGTGCTGAGGATCGAACCCAGTGCCTCACACATGCCAGGTGAGCGCACTACCACTGAGCCACAACCCCAGCCCCAATCCTCAGCTCTTTTTACATCTTATTTGGAGACAGGGTCTTGCTGAATTGCCCAAGCTGTCCTGGAATTTATCATCCTCCTGCCTCAGCCTCTCCAGTAGCTGGGATTACAGGCTAGTGCTACTGTGCCAGTTCTATTTGCCTTTTTATATTAGCAAATGTATGGATGCAATCACAGCTGCTGTTTGTTCTTTTCCTAAAATCTCTCACTCCCCTGAAAAATGTTGGTCACTATAGAACCAGGGTCTTGTCCCTCCTGGAAAAAAAGCTGAGAAGGGATCAAGTATGTTGAGGAACAGCTTGTTATAAATCTAAAGCAGGGAGGCTGGGTGATGCAGTCTAAGAAACAGACAGTGATTTCCTTTGCAGTCAGTTCCCTGGTGTTCTGTAATATGGGAAGGGTCTGGCAAAGGAGTGGGGAGAAAAGAGAAGAGGTTTAAAGTTAATTCTCTTTTATCAAACCGGTGATTCATTCCTGCTCCAGGACTGACTCCCAGGAATGCCAGGCCAGGGGCAAATCACAGTGTGTTCCCAGGCTACTCTAATCCAACCTCTCTCCAAGTGAAATTCAGTTCTGGTGACCATCAGGGGCAGCCAAAGGGTAACAAAAAACCAGCTTGACAGGAGTAGGCCAAGAGGGGTTTATGAGCTGATTGAGTAAATTGTCTCTAAATTCCAACTGCCAGAGCTGTCCCAATTTTCTTCCATCTATCTCCTGGCTCCTAGGGGTTGAGAGCAGGGCCTAGGATTAGGAAATTCTGCTCCCCAAGCAAGGAATGGAGCTGAACTTGGAACCCTGAGAACAGGGGTTCCTATAGGGTATCTATAGGGGAGCTGGGGCTATAGGTAGGGACAGGAAGACTGTCACCAACTGACAACTCTCTAGAAGCAAAGGGCCCTGTGGTGCTAGATACCAGGAGTCTGGGCTCCTCTTGACAGAACCACCTTCCCACTGTTACAGTTGTCCGGAAACAGCGAAAGTTTTCTGGTGTTGGAATGTACTCCCAAGGGAGGTGTGGTGAAGATTTCCAAGTGGGGTAGGAAACGGTCACTTTCTAAGTCCTTGGAGGCTGAGCTCAAAAGCTTGCCGTGACTTGTCTTGTGGGCACTTCAGAATGGGTCATACAACGTGTGATTTAAGTACAGGTATTTGGGTTCTTTGGGTCCTGCTGTGGTTACTTGATTGATGTCCTCCATCCCTGTGCTAGACTGTGAGCCTTGGGCGCAAGGTAACCAAGTCAGTGTTCTTTAGTAATCCTTTGAATTTCCGGGCTCTCCTGGTCGCCGGGCTAAGCCCTGCTAAGGGTTCCACGCAGCTTTGACCACAGTCTTTCGACACCACCATGAAGAATTAAGTAAATATCAGGTTGGAGAAATCCAGGGCAACAGAGATTCAAGGCTGTCTGCTAGTGTAGTGTAGTTCAATCGGAAAAGAGGAACTCCGCAGTTAAAAAAGAAAAAAAACTCTCGGGGGTCAGAACCGGCCCACTTGCTCCTGAGCACCACCCGAGCTGCGCGCGACGCCCGCGCGTTCCATAGGGCCCGGCGGGCGCGCGCCAGGCCCGCTCCCGGGGAGGCTCGCTCTCTGGGTTGGGGCCGGCCAACCGGCCTCTCCCAGGATTTGTGACGTGCCGGGGGCAGCAGCAGTGACGGGGCCACCACACAAAGCCGGCACTCTCCCAGACCAAGAGCCCCGACGGGAGGGGGAGGGGGCGGGGAGCGAGGCGCCCCCCGGCGCCCGGGCTCCGCGCAGCATTAAAGTGAGCTCCGACTCCGCGGCGGCGGGGGGCGGGCGCCGGGGAGGCCTGGAGCGCCCGTCGCGCGCCTGGCTGCTGTGGCCGCGCTGGCCGTCCGCGCGCCCGGCTCTCCGGGGCCGCACCACGCCCCCTCGGGGCTGGAGCCTTGGCCAGGGGCGGGTCCGCAGCTGGCGGCGCCCGGGCCCGGGGCGGGGGTTGTGGCAGCAGCTGCAGCATCGGAGGCAAGAGCGACGCTGGGAGTTGCTGCAGCGGAGGCAGAGGCTTCTCCAGGACGCATCCGGACCGCGCAGCCGGAGCCCCAGCCCGGAGGCGCCGGGAGGTGCACTCGGTGCTGCTGCTATCGCCGCTTTCCCGCAGCCACCAGGTCCCCCGCTGCCACCAGGGCCCCGGCTGCCTTCAGCGCCTCCGTCGACCCCGCCGTGGTGTGCGCCCCAGCCGGGACGCCGCCCTCGGCCGGGCCTCCACTTTTCAGCCGCACCTTCCATGACAGCGCCCGCGCGAAGATGGCTGCGAAGGGCGCGCATGGCACCCACCTGAAGGTGGAGAGCGAACTGGACCGCTGCCGCGCTGAGGGCCACTGGGACCGCATGCCTGAGCTGGTCCGGCAGCTGCAGACGCTGGGCATGCCTGGCTGCAGCGGAACCAGCCGATGATCCAGCCCGAGCTCCAGGATCCGCTCTCTGCCATCTGTGTTTCTAGTTTCTTGGTTTTCTTCCTTGGAGTTTTGAGAGGACTCTCTGCTATTGATGCCAAGGGCTGAGTCAGAATCATTTTTCAGTGTATTTGTTATATCAGTAGATGCAAAAGGAATGTCTGGTGACTTCAAAGAAATATTTTCCACCTCATCTTTATGCCCTAAAGTTCTTCCTTTTCTTCTATTTCTTCCAAGCTACAATCAGAGATAATTCCAGCTACAAAGAAATGCATATATAATCCTGAATATTTTTTTTTTCATTTACCGTATGTAATCCTAGCAAGGAAGGAATATTTAATAATTAGTTGAAGTCTTTAAATCAGGTTCAAAATTAGTAGTGAAATGTTTTTCTCATGGTGAATAATCATGTTAATATATAACAAGATTGTCTCACATGCATATAATCCTAAATAAATTGTATTTAATAAATACAATTTATTTAGGATTATATGCATGCATTATATTGTATCACTCTAGGTTTTATTCGTAGAAGATCATTTAGTATTATAAATGCTAAGTTAAATATTTCACTTGAGTACGTTTTTTAAAATGATTTTATATCCATGCTGTAAAAATCAATGTATCTTAAATACAAGTTTATTTTAAATGCAAATTAAATAAGCATGAGGTTTTTGCACATGCAGTTTGACTCAGTATTTATCAAAACTTGAAAATTATCTGAACCCCTTTTGAAAATACTCAAGCTCATACCCTACTCCACAGCTATTAAATAAAAATCTCAAAAGGGTGGGGCCAAGAATGTTTCAGGTTCCTCAGGTGATTCTACTGTGCAACCTGGGTTAAGTGATCTAAATGCTTAATATGTTTTTAATCTGGAAACATGTATTAAGCACTGATAATTTTTACTACCACCCAGTTTGATTCTCAGAGGCAACTTCCTCCAACAGTTTTTTCCTGTCTATTGTCAGAAAGCCTAACATGCACATATAAGCAGACGTCCATATTCACATTTCCTTTTCTGTTGGTTTATTTAATATAAATAGAAGTATATTATACCCAATGTTTCAACCTAGCTTTTTTTCCACTTATAATATCTTAAATATCATATACTAATGTGTGTAGTTATCAGTTTAAAACAGTTGTGGTTAATTTTTCATTGTATAAAAATGTGTTTTATCATTACTTCTTAGTATTGACAACCAGTGGTACTATGATAAATTTGGAGACATCCTTAGCAGTTGATGTCCATAGTTATGGTCAAGATGAGCTGTGAAAATAAATTTAAACCAAACACTCAGGTCCTAGAATTTTATTAAATCAAATTAAACATCCAAGTAAAGTTTTACTTCAAAAGGAGGGAAATATGTTACAGCATTGGATTATAGTGATCAGCACATTCACAAAATTTAATAAAAATTTTAAGGTATTTGAAGCTTAAAATACTTAAAAATATAATTGTATCTCTTAATGTGGAGACAGAAAAGTATGTTTATTGTGCTTCTTAAGAAACAGGCATTGAGCCTGTATATACAGTTTAGTTAAAAGCTTGCCTAGCATGCTTGAGGCCCTGGGTTCCACCCCCTGTCTCAGGCAGTATTACATGACTGTAGTCCCAGCACCTCAGGAGGCTGAGGCAGGAGGACTGTGTGAGTCTAGGACTTCAAAGTCAGTCTGGGTGACATAGCAAGACCCTGTTTCAAAAACAAACAAATATGGGGTACTTTAAATTAACAATAAAAATGTCCCAATTAAATTAGAGTACTAAGGAATATTTAAAAATTTAAGTGAATTTTTATATGTACATATTTTGGCAAATGTTGCTTTATCATGACATGTACAATAGCCTTTATGATGCCTTGTTCAATATTATATTTTGTTTCTGTGTTGAAAGATCAGCGGTTATCCTGATTGGTTTACCCCTAAATATAATCTTCTTCCTCTCTCTTGTGGCTTTTAAAATTTTCTCCTTATTCTGTATGTTGGGCATCTTCATTATTATGTGTCTTGGTGTGGATCTCTTATGATTTTGTACATTCGGTGTCCTGTAGTCTTCTAGAATTTGGATTTCTTTTTCAATCTTTAATGGGAAGTTTTCTAGTATTATTTCATTGAATAGATTGCTCATTCCTTTGGTTTTGACCTCTATAACCTCTTGTATCCCATAACTCTTAAGTTTGGTTTCTTTATGTTATCACATAATTCTTGGATGTTCTGCTCATGATTTCTTTTTTTTAATATTTTATTTATTTTTTTAAATTTTTTATTTTTTTATTATTTTTTTAAATTTTTTATTGTTGGTTGTTCAAAACATTACATATTTCTTTTTTTTTGTCTTTTTTAGAGCATATTTATTTTTTTTTTTAATTTTTTTTTATTGGTTGTTCAAAACATTATAAAGCTCTTGGCATATCATATTTCATACATTAGATTCAAGTTGGTTATGAACTCCCAATTTTACCCCAAATACAGGTTGCAGAATCACATCAGTTACACATCCACATTTTTACATAATGCCCTATTAGTAACGGTTGTATTCTGCTACCTTTCCTATCCTCTACCATCCCCCCTCCCTCCCCTCCCATCTTCTCTCTCTACCCCATCCACTGTAATTCATATCTCTCCTTGTTTATTTTCCCATTCCCCTCACAAACTCTTATATGTAATTTTGTATAACAATGAGGGTCTCCCTCCTTTACCATGCAATTTCCCTTTTCTCTCCCTTTCCATCCCACCTCATGTATCTGTTTAATGTTAATCTTTTCTTCCTGCTCTTCCTCCCTGCTCTGTTCTTAGTTGCTCTCATTATATCAAAGAAGACATTTGGTATTTGTTTTTTAGGGATTGGCTAGCTTCACTAAGCATAATCTGCTCTAGTGCCATCCATTTCCCTGCAAATTCTATGATTTTGTCATTTTTTAGTGCTGCGTAATACTCCATGGTGTATAAATGCCACATTTTTTTTATCCATTCATCTATTGAAGGGCATCTGGGTTGGTTCCACAGTCTAGCAATTGTGAATTGTGCTGCTATGAACATCGATGTAGCAGTATCCCTGTAGTACGCTCTTTTAAGGTCTTCAGGGAAAAGTCCAAGAAGGGCAATAGCTGGGTCAAATGGTGGTTCCATTCCCAGCTTTCCCAGGAATCTCCATACTGCTTTCCAGATTGGCCGCACCAGTTTTCAGTCCCACCAGCAATGTACAAGAGTACCCTTTTCCCCACATCCTCTCCAGCACTTGTTGTTGTTTGACTTCATAGTGGCTGCCAATCTTACTGGAGTGAGATGGTATCTTAGGGTGGTTTTGATTTGCATTTCTCTGACTGCTAGAGATGGTGAGCATTTTTTCATGTACTTGTTGATTGATTGTATGTCCTCCTCTGAGAAGTGTCTGTTCAGGTCTTTGGCCCATTTGTTGATTGGGTTATTTGTTTTCTTATTGTTTAATTTTTTGAGTTCTTTGTATACTCTGGATATTAGGGCTCTATCTGAAGTGTGAGGAGTAAAAATTTGTTCCCATGATGTAGGCTCCCTATTTACCTCTTTTATTGTTTCTCTTGCTGAGAGAAAACTTTTCAGTTTAAGTAAGTCCCATTTGTTGATTTTTGTTATCAGCTTTTGTGCTATGGGTGTCCTATTAAGGAATTTGGAGCCCGACCCTACAATATGTAGATCGGAGCCAACTTTTTCTTCTATCAGACGCAGAGTCTCTGATTTGATATCTAGCTCCTTGATCCACTTTGAGTTAACTTTTGTGCATGGCGAGAGGAGGGGATTCAGTTTCATTTTGTTGCATATGGATTTCCAGTTTTCCCAGCACCATTTGTTGAAGATGCTATCCTCCCTCCATTGCATGCTTTTAGCTCCTTTATCAAATATAAGATAGTTGTAGCTTTGTGGATTAGTCTCTGTGTCCTCTATTCTGTACCATTGGTCCACCCTCCTGTTTTGGTACCAGTACCATGCTGTTTTTGTTACTATTGCTCTGTAATATAGTTTTAAGTCTGGTATCGCTATACCGCCTGATTCGCACTTCCTGCTTAGAATTGCTTTTGCTATTCTGGGTCTTTTATTTTTCCATATGAATTTCATGATTGCTTTATCCATTTCTACAAGAAATGCCGTTGGGATTTTGATTGGCATTGCATTAAACCTATAGAGAACTTTTGGTAATATCGCCATTTTGATGATGTTAGTTCTGCCTATCCATGAACAGGGTATATTTTTCCATCTTCTAAGATCTTCTTCTACTTCTCTTTTTAGGGTTTTGTAGTTTTCATTATATAAATCTTTCACCTCTTTTGTTAGGTTGATTCCCAAGTATTTTATTTTTTTTGAGGATATTGTGAATGGAGTGTTTTTCCTCATTTCCGTTTCAGAAGTTTTGTCGCTGATATACAGAAATGCCTTTGATTTATGCGTGTTGATTTTATATCCTGCCACTTTGCTGAATTCATTTATTAGTTCTAGTAGTTTTTTTGTAGACCCTTTTGGGTCTTCTAGGTATAGAATCATGTCATCTGCAAATAGTGATAATTTAAGTTCTTCCTTTCCTATTTTTATGCCTTTAATTTCTTTCGTCTGTCTAATTGCTCTGGCCAGTGTTTTGAGAACTATATTGAATAGAAGTGGTGATAGAGGGCATCCCTGTCTTGTTCCAGATTTTAGGGGGAATGCCTTCAATTTTTCTCCATTGAGAATGATGCTAGCCTGAGGCTTAGCATAGATAGCTTTTACAATGTCGAGGTAAGTTCCTGTTATCCCTAGTTTTTCTAATGTTTTGAACATAAAGGGATGCTGTACTTTGTCGAATGCTTTTTCTGCGTCTATTGAGATGATCATATGGTTCTTATTTTTAAGTGTATTGATGTGGTGAATAACATTTATTGATTTCCGTATATTGAACCATCCTTGCATCCCAGGGATGAATCCTACTTGATCATGGTGCACAATTTTTTTGATGTGCCTTTGTATCCGATTCGCCAGAATTTTATTGAGGATTTTTGCATCTAGGTTCATCAGAGATATTGGTTTGTAGTTTTCTTTCTTTGAGGTGTCTTTGTCTGGTTTCAGAATCAGGGTGATGTTGGCCTCATAGAATGAATTTGGCAGAGCTCCTTCTTTTTCTATTTCCTGAAATAACTTGAAAAGTATTGGTATTAATTCTTCCTTAAAGGTTTTGTAAAACTCCGCTGTATACCCATCTGGTCCTGGGCTTTTCTTGGTTGGAAGTCTTTTGATTGCTTCTTCTATTTCATCTATTGTTATTGGTCTG